GATAGATAGATAGATAGATAGATAGATTAGATAGATAGATAGATAGACAGACAGACAGACAGACAGACAGACAGACAGACAGACAGACAGACAGACAGACAGACAGACAGACAGACAGATAGATAGGCCCAATCCATATAAAAGAGAATATAATTTTGACTTCCTCCTTTCTGCCAACGACACAGAAGTGAAAGATTGAACCAGAAATGTCTCATTTAGCATCAGTGGGTTGTTTCAAACCTTACCCTTAGCACGATGCAGCGTCTAACACTGAGCAAGCTGTTTCAAGGCAGAGGGATAAGCTGTCCTGTGTTTGTTTGTACGGTAAATGTCAGCTCGTGAGCTCCAGGGCCAATTTAAGGCCACAGGATCGTCATCTCGGCCCCATTACTTTTTATTCTTCACGCTGTGTACTCAAATAGTGAGCACACAACTTGTAAAGCAAACAGCAGTATAAGAGCACAAATCTAAAGTTCCCTCCTTTGACAGGTGTGAAAAGAAGAGCCGTAAATACTAAAGGAGAAATATTGTCAAAGCGTGAAGTGCTGTAGTCCTATTTGGTTTGATGCTTTGTATTACACGTTTCTCTTTTGACCTAGAAAACAATAATAGAGGAACCTAAACCGTATTAAGAGAACATCTTGTAAAAGCTGCCTTTCTGTCTTTTCTCGTTTTTCAGGAAGGTTTACAGCAGACAACCATGACGCCATCTTGAAATTATTTGAGCATTACAGAGGTTTGCAGGTTTCAGATTATAGAAGGCGTCCTATTACAGGCGGTGATATTAAATCCCAGCATGAGAAAAAAAATTCATCCTGATATGCTTTCTCTGACATGTAGACTTTATCTCTCTACGTTTGTGGAAACGTTTTCTTAGACAGCGGCTGCAGTCAGTGCGCTCAAAGATGCAACCCAAGCAGTTTTTATATGTGCTGGCTGACTGGCGGCGATGGGGTGGGGGAGGCTGAGCCATCAAACCCTCATGGAATCAAACACACGACCATTGTGCTGAACCATCTCCTGATGCAAATAGAAGCACTTCACGGTAAAAAAAAAAAAAAAAAGAAGACTCAGCATAAAATAATGGGAGCTCCAACATTCCCCTCCAATCTCTCCTGTTTCTCTATGGATTGTCAAACGTGTCACACAAACGTGCACATTAGCTCCGAACAGTCCCAACATGAGATACATCAAACACTTTATAAAGAGGTGGGATCTATCCATCAGCTGAAGAAGAAAACCTTACAGACTGACAACCTGTATGATTTTAAATAATTCACTTCAAGTCAGTCTGTTGCCTTGGCTGCAACGTGTCCAAACTGTGCCGGCTCATTAATATTAAACTTCAGACCAGAGTTGTTTTAAAGCGGTCCAAACGCCCGGGGCAGCGAAGCAGGGGTTAATTTAATCTCTTTCTCATGGGCTGGGAGTGATGGTGAAGCAGCAGCTCAACAATAATCGCAGGCTGTTCACCGGAGGTGGCCAACATTTTATGCCGGAGGGTCAAATCAAGGTATTTAAAGCAATCAAAAGGCCGCATAGAGAATTGGAAAATACATTATCTTTACGACTGATAATCTGAAAGACCTATTTCAGATTTTATTCTTGCTGTAGCATAGTTAGTATAACCCAATACTCTTTAGGAATATAAGACATATCTGTAAACTGGCTCTCGTGACAATATATTTGTTAGCTTAAATGTGCAAAAATACAAAAAACTAAATAAACCTTATATATTTGACTTACGGGGTTTTTAAATTTCATTCTATGCTGGAAACACAACGGCTTAATCTTAATCTAAATGTTTTCAATGTTTTTGTCTAAGATGTTTAATAGTGTGAATGATTATGAATCATTCACACTTTTGTGATCTATTTTTCTTCCGTACATTTTTCAACATCTTTCTTGTTCTACAATTTTTGAGCTATTTCAACAAATCATATCAAAATGTTCAGCTTGTTCAGGAGAAGGGTGCTATGACTTTTGGTACTGGTGCAACTTTAGCTTTTTGAAATATTTAGCCTTTTCTACCACTTTTTTTCTCATAGAGAATAACTGATGTCATTTTACATCCTTCAAATCTTTACATGTGTTTACAACCTTTTACTGCTCCTTTCACATTTTGTTCTGGTCCAGCTTATTTCAGCTTCCTTGGGCAATTTTAAACTTTTTTCAGCTACTTTCAGCTGCTTTCAGCTGCTTTTTTTCAAGCTGTTTTGTAATCCTTTCAAATTCTTTCTAACTACAACATTTTTGTGCTTCTTCTAACTTATTTCTGTTAATTTCAGCTTGTTATGCTCTTTTCAGCGTATTTCTGCAACTTTCAGCTTGTTCTGCTATTTCAGCTACTATTTAGCTGTTTCTATGCAAATTTGATCTTTTTCAGCTAATTCCACATGTTTAGCACTAATTTAAACTTTTTTCAGCCTAATTCAGCAAAAATGTGCTCTCTCCTTTGCTTTTTAGCTACTTCTCAGCTGTTTTTTTTTTTTGCTAATTTCAACTTTTTTCAGCTAGTATCCACTTCTTTGTGCTCATTTCTGCTTCTTCAATCCTAATTGGGCAAACATGTCCTTTTTGCTTTCTTTTAATAATTTAAGCTTGTTCTAACTTCTCACCTAGCTTTTTAGCATTTTTTTTAAAGAAAATTTCAGCTGTTTTCAGATAAATTTGTTTTTTGTGTTCATTTCTGCTACTTTCAGCCTACTTAACTTCTTTCTGCTAAGTTCAGCTTGCTATGCTCCTTTCAGGTTTCTTCTGCTAGTTTCAGCTTCTTCTGCTCTTTCAGGTACTATTTAGTTCTTTTGATACTAATTTATACTTTTTCAGCAAATTCCACTTTTTATTTATTTATTTTTTTAGCTCATTTCAGTTCTTTCCACTTCCTTCTGGCAGTTTAAGCCTCTTTTTGCCTTTTCAGCTACTTTTCAGCTTTTTTTGTTTGTTGCTGCTAATTTCATATTTTTTTAAGCTCATTTCCTTATCTGTGTGCTAATTTCTGCTTATTTAAACCTAATTCAGCAAATATGTGATCTTGCTGCTTTTTTCTGCTAATTTAGGCCATTTCAGCTACATTTCAGAATGTTTTTTTTTTTAAGTTAATTTTAGCTGTTTTTCAGCAAGTTCTACTGCAATAAGCATTCACACTGCATTTTTGCAGGAAATGCATTTTCTTTAGTTGAGACTTTGCTAATTTTAATTAATAAACTGCAGGTGTTCATTAACTTATTAAAAATTATTTTCAATTAAGGCAGTTGGGGGCTGGATGGAGAGTGTCTAAGAGACACTTCTGGGCCTATGGCCATTAGTGGCCCACGCCTGCTTTTCACCAAGCTTCACAAGTGCTGGACAAATTGTACCGTTTCCAGTGCATCGAGGAATCCCGGGACTCAAACATGTGCACCAGCAGCCAGTGTTCAGCCTTCTGAAGCCCAGATAAACGTTTCAGATGGTATCAGAGCGCTCTTTAGCTGCAGGCTAAAGCTGGAAAATTGCTTTTAACAAACGGTGGTTTAACATTCATTGTCTGAAGGAAAATTTGATGTTTCGTGTACATGCCATAATACGGTTATAATAAGTGTAGCTGGGCTGATTATCACTTAGGGAGTTAATTCTGTAAACCTTCCTTCCACAACGAGCGTCTTTTTTGTGTAATGCATGAAATGAGGCGGTTATATTTCCCCTCGGTTCATTATGAACCTCGCTGCAAGTGGCTTTAGGACACACTTACAATACGATGCACTGGTTCTGTTCCTCTAATAAAGCGGACCAGATTCATCACTGCAGGGTTGAGGCTGTGGTGACATACAGTATATCCCGCTGTGAGGTTCTGTCAGCACTTCCAGTGGCCTTATAAAGACTAATTACTGCTTCCAAACTTACAAGTCTGCACTGCAGCGTGTAAACAAAGCAACCAGACCGTAGTGTATGATGTCACAGCCACGCTGGGCCTCAAGCTGTATCATCTGTAGCTGCTGATAAACCGGTGTCGCGATTTTAATGCAACGTTTGCTCGAGTCTTGACATCTTTTTGAAATCAGCGTTATCAGCTCAACACAAAGCGTGCAGAGAGCTGCGTGCGCCGCCACACCCTCTCCATCCAGAGGAGGTGTGAACACCACATCATGACAGTCGAAGCTATTTCAGGTTCACAGCTGCAGATTAGTCAGGATCACGTCTCAGGGTGGATCGGATTGGAATAAATAAAATAAAAAGAACAGGAACTGTAATAATAATAACACCGATGCTTTTCCTGGCCCAGCTATTATTCTGTCAGAACAGGTCATCAGAACCACATCTCAGGTAGGTTCAGAAGCAGTTCAGATCGCCATGGAGACGGGACGAGCAAGATGATGACCTTTATCTGAAACTCACCCACCCACAGCATATATATTTATATTTATACACACAGATATGGACCAATTATAGATCCTTCAGGGATGTAAAACTCTGATCTGCTCATTTCTACAAATAGAACCCAACAGGAAATGAAATACTGTACATATGGAAACCAGTTTAGAGCTTCTAGACTTTTCATATTTTATAATAAAAACACAGAAGTGCACCATAACAGCACAATCATTTTTCTCCCCGATACCTCTAATTACAATAAATTAGAAATGTCCAGATTAATATTTAGGAGAGAACAAAAGGACAAATGAATCAGTGATGTGTTCGTCTGTTAAATGGTTCATTTTATTTAAACTGCATGTAAACTGCAGCTTGATAGCAGCTACAACAGAATTAAAACCTTCTTACAGACATTTGTCCCCTGGTGGGAGATTATGGGTCTTAGCTTGAATATAAGTATGTCTCCTGTTAAAGATGTCAATTAAACCTTTATTTTACTGAGCAGTAAAGTCTGCAGCAGATGGTACGTTTGCTGAAAATCAACCTTTTTACTAGGGGTGTCTCGATATTAGATTTTTTTTAGACTGAATCAAAGTACAAGTACTTGAGTTTGGGTACTTGCAGATAGTTAATGAGTTAGTACTTAAACATCACACATTGATTTTATAAATGTCAGTGTTTACTTTAAAATATCTGAACTATGACCGTGTTTTGTTTTTAGTTACTTGCAGTGTGAAAGAGGAAATTACATCACCAAGCATCGATGTGGTATCAGTTTTGAAGTATCGGGATAGTTTAATGAGTACAAGTACAAGTGCTTGAGGTTGGTACCGTCTCCTTAATCGGCACACAGCTACCTTTTAAAAAAAAAAAGGTAACACCTTACAGATATTGTTTATTTACTCTGTAAACATTTGCTGCTGCTAACGCAAATTAGAACTGAACTGTGATGCATTTACAGACTGGGGAAAAAAATCAGACATTTGAGAGTCCAACAGGAACGTGATCACCAGTTGATTAATCGGTCCGTCGTTAACAGACACAAACGTCTGTATTTATATCTTATTAAGACCATGTGTTGGTTTCAGTTCATTTCTGCAGCCTAACCCTGACCCAAACCATTACCAGAACTTTCTTCTTTCAGCTGCTCCCTTCTTCATGGGTCACCACAGCGAACTAACTCACATGAAGACTTGGTGATTGTTTTTACACCGGCTGTCCTTCCTGACGCAACCACAGGCCACCGAGCTACCAGCCCTCTGTGTGGAGCAGAGAGCTGCTACAGAGTGCCCCGGGGGAGCAGATGGTGGGAGGTTAAGTGCCTTGCTCAAGGGCTTAGAGTGGGGCAATTGAGGGTGGAGGCAGGTGTGGGTGTTTCACCATTAACACACACCTTTTTTTTGGTAAGGGGAATTGAGCCGGCAACCTTCCAATCACAGGCCCACCTTCTCTAACCTCTGCGCCACCACTCCCCCCTGCAGACTATAGCCAAAACTCAATTCACACCTCAGTCCTAAACTTAACCTCTAATCTAAAAATTGTGATCCTCTATAATAGAACTGGGTCTTTGGTCCTCTGACCCAGGGGCTCCCAAACTTTTCCATGCCATGCCATCCCCCCCCCCCCCCCCCCCCAAACAGCATCAGCTTCTGGCCGCGGCCCCTCTCGCAAAACCCACAATCAATGCTGCAAAATACGTAAAGAAACATGAACTTTTAGAAAGTTTTAACTTTTGTTCACCATATTCAATTAATTATTACAGCTGCTGAGCATAAAACATTATTAACTAACATGTTTTAAACACTGTATTATATTCACACTCAAGTGGGGCTAAAGTTTCGAAGGTTTTAAACACTCGTTTGCGAGGGTCTCCAGACAGACGACACATTTCGGGCAATCGTGGCCATTTTTCTGTATGACTATAAAGACATACACTTCCTCATATATTTGAATTTTAGCTGGCCATGAGTGATTTGTTTGTTTGTTGGTTTTTTGCAGCAGTTTCCACTATAGCAGGTCTGCTGGTCGGTTTCTTCTGTCTTTTTAGAAACATCTTCATTTCATCCTTGCTATGCTATGCTTGAAGAGTAAAACAGTTTGATACATTTGACCAGCAGCCAATCAGAAAGATGAGCACGGTGAAAAATATTTCAAAATATTATTATAAAATGTATTTTAAAATAATTATTGAAAAATAGATTTGATTTTATTACAGTAATTTAAAAAATATAACATTTTATTAAAAAAGTATATTTTTTATTTTGGGGCAGCAAAAAAAGAGAGCAGGTCCTTGGTTCAAACCCCGGTCCAGGGGCCTTTCTGGGTGGAGTTTGCATGTTCTCTCTGTGCATGCGTGGATTTTCTCCGGGTGCTCCGGTTTCCTCCCACAGACCAAAAACATGCATGTTAGGCTGATTGGTAACTCTAAATTGTCCCTAGGTGTGAGCGAGAGAGTGAATGGTTGTTTGTCTCGTTTGTCTCTATGTGTCCCTGTGATGGACTTGCGACCCGTCCAGGGTGTACCCCGCCCCTCGCACAGTGATTGCTGGACATGGGCACCGGCGACCCCCGTGACCCAAAATGGAATAAGCGGGTAAAGATAAAGGATGGATGGATTTATTTTTTTTTTTTACAAAGTAAATCTTCTTCGCTCCAGCTTTCTTAGGCACCTGTAGCACCCCTCAGGGGGCCACGGCCCCCACTTTGAAAAACACTGCCCTACAGGACCATTGGTCCTGACTAGGTAGGTGTCTATAGTAGAAAAGATCCTAAAAAGATAACAAAAACCATCTACACACACATGCACATACATAGAGCATGATTAACTAACGTCCGTGTTTATCTTCCAAGGTTTTTTACTCTCAGTTGTATTTTACTTCAAATGTTCCTCAAAGTGTGGAAACTGGTAAACATCCTCTGTGCCAAGTGTGCGTCTCCTCACTGCTGAAACCCTCTGAGGTGAGGGTGTGTTTGGAAATCCACTGTTAATTAATGATCATTAGCATCTCGGAGAGACGTCTGTGCATGTTTTGGAATACAACAGTAATAAACAAATAGAAATGAATTCCTCCTGCAAACTGTTTATCGTGCTTTTGTTGAGATGGGACTACCTCTACCCTGCACAGCTTTTTAGTTTCTGAAAACATCATGAAACCAAACCGAAGAGATGCTGTTAGCATGGATGCATTACCTTGGCGAACAACTGCAGAGGTCAAAGGTGATGTTCCAGTAGCTCAGTCAGTGGTCAGGACAAGGGTTTGACAGACAAAAATTGAGTGAATAGTGAGCAGAATATGAAAGGAAGCAAAACAATAAACAGGCAAGTATATGAATAAACAAAATAAAAAGAGGAAATATTAGTGCAGCACAGGTAACTGGATGATCTCAGGGTGTTCAGGTGGCTGGGAGGGAAAAGCAAACCAATAGACCCCATACCTTGGCGGTTTAACATCAGGTGCGCCAGACCTTGAGGGAAAGAACAGAAAAAAGGATACGAAAACAGGAAGTTCATAAAGAGGTTCGGGAGAACAAAAGCATTGTCACAATGTTGGACTGCAGTTTGTGACAGACATCCTGGGGTAAGTACGGATGTCAGAGTTCAAACTTGAACAGAAAGGGGATCAAACTCAAAGAGACGAACATCTCAAGGGAGGAGAAGGGAGGCAAGGACAGAAAAAAACATCTGGACCCACGCAACTCTCACAGGAAGTTGCCCACACAGATGCTTTTTTCTAATGGAACACATATTGTATGTTTACTTGATGCAGACGTCTGAAATGTGTCGCGTTCACACAGAACCTGACGGACTTCTGAAAACACCTCATGTGGAGAAGTCACTCGCCGTGAAGCTAATCCGCCGTTTTTATTGTTTTCTGCTCTGCGGCCTTCGGGACGTTGCAGCTCGTTTTGCAGCCGGTTGCTTCACAGATCACCTGTTGAGCCTTTTTAACCCTCTTCATCGCTTCGTTCTATAAAAAGGGCACCGTGACACCGTTCCTTCTCCTTTAAGGTTCTCAGAGGATTCATCTGCTGACGCTGTGCCTTGAAAAGGCTGAGAGTGTTATTTAGTGGAAGGCAGATGGTTAGCTGCACAAATGAACCCAACAATTTTCAAGCGTGCAGAACGACAGCGCGCTCAGATTTGAATGGAATCAGCAGGTTTACCACGCAGAGTGCACAGACATGCTGCACTGACGTGGACCTCGCTGCATGACACGGAGGACAGATTTGAATGTGGAACGATACTTGGTACAAACCTTGTTAGCAAGGTAGGATATGTTAACTGGTATTTTCACTATTAAATAAATAAATACTTTGTAAATAAATAAATAAGTAAATTTGACACTGTTGTTAAGTTTAATAATGTCCAAAAAAGAAAGGTATCTCTTATGTTAACAACACATTATACACTTCCTACCATTTTGTATAACTTTGACCTTGATTTGTGACCTTGACATTAAAGCTGGGATGATGGCATTTTTACACAACACTCTGTCTCGTAATGAAGCATTTGCGTATGAAGTTTCATTAATTTATCTTAAGCAGATCAGAAGTTGAGGCCCCAATAAGAGAAATGTTTTTGACGTTGGTACAAAAAATTAGCACAGAAAAAGAGCTCATTTGGTCTGGACTCAGGCGCCACGGTTGCACAGTTGATAAAGTGTTTGGCTTTCAGTGAGAAGGTCGCCGGATCAAATCCCAAGCGGGGGACCGTTCTGGGTGGAGTTTGCATGTTCTCTCCGTGCATGCGTGGGTTTTCTACAAGTACTCCAGTTTCCTCCCACAGAGCAAAAACATGCATGTTAGGCTGATTGGTAACTCTAAATTGTCTCTAGGTGTGAGTGAGAGTGAATGGTTGTTTTTTGTCTCGTTTGTCTCCATGTGTCTCTGTGATGGACTGGAGACCTGTCCAGGGTGTCCCCCACCTCTCCAACAGTGATGGCTGGACATGGGCACCAGTGTCCCAAGCGACCCGAAAAGGAAGAAGCGGGTAAAGATAATGGATGGACGGATGGATTGGCCTGGACTTGAAGCAAACAAGAAAAGCTGAATTTAAAACCATCTCCAAGTGAAAGTACAAAACTACGACGGAGCTTTAGGGACACGGTAAAAATTAAAAAAATTAAAGCCATAAAATCACGAGAATAAAATCAAATAATATAAATAAAAAATAATAAAAAATAATCATAATATTACGAGAATAAAGTTGGACGAGACATTTTTTTTGCAGTTCTCTTTTATTTATTACTTTTTTCCACGAGTCAGATCCACGACATGCGACCTGTCAATCAATCCAGTAGGCGTGTCAACTAATGACCAATCCAAAGCTAAATGCTCCGTACCTGCAGAGAGCTGCTGCAGCCCATCACAACTACCTTCTTACTGTAAGCAGGTTCAAAGTCCTGGTACTGATAATAATCTGATGCTGATGTGCTAACAGATTAACTATCTCCTTATTTGTAAAACCAATAGCAAAGTATAACTTAACAAAATGCTCAACATTCTTCATTTTACCACAATTTGAATGTGGTAAACCTGCTTTATCGTGTCGGAGTTCGGATAATATTACGACTCGTTTAACTTCAGATAGGTCATTCGTTGACACACCTACTGCATTAATTGACAGGTCGCATCACGGATCCGACTCGTGGAAGAAAAAAAAACGAAAGCTGCAAAAAAAAAAAGTCTTGTATGACTTTATTCTCATAATATTAAGACTTTATTCGACTTTATTCTCATAATGCTAAGTCTTCATTCTCATAATTTTATGGCTTGTAATTTTTTTCTTAGCGTGGCCCTAAATCTCCGTCGTAAAAAACAAACCAAGCCGAGCGCTGTTCATAAAAAACGCCTTGCGACGTATTCAACCTTATTACATACCAGAAAGCACTTTAAAGCAAGTGAATTATGACCCTTTAGGCTTTCCATACATCCACCTCCTGCTGGTCCCTGCCATTACAGATCACCATGTAACTCTTCACCGTTTGTGTTCTGAACCAGAAGTTCTTGCTTTGCATTGCTGTAGAATGCTTTAGATAATATTTTCCTATAGTTGCAGTCGAGTGATCGCTTCTGACTAACACTCTGTGATTGATTGCACACATCCGCCCCTGACGTTTGACAGTTCGGTGTGAGCGCACGTATCATAACACCCCTAGAATTCAACGCCAATCAAAAGGGAGCGTGTTTGACTGAAGCACAATGGCAGCCGCCATCGCTGATTCCTACGTTCTGCACACACACACATGCCCGTGAAACATAAATATCTCAACGGGTCAGCTGGAAATTACATGGCACACCTCAACACAACACAATGCAACACTTCTGCGGTGCACATGAGTGCCACGGTGCAGGTAAACACAAACAGCTCGCGTCGTTGCACCAGCCTTCCACTGTACTGAAAGTCACTGCTCACAGCTACCGTCTCACTTTAGTCATTAGGTAAAAGAGGGCAGGAATTTACCCGCATGTAGAGCTGAACGAGGCTATTAATGCTGCAACTTTCAGCGTGGAGTGAACACGATTACCCCTGGGAGGGTCCTCGCCTGCCAACGTGTAGGCTTTTGATAAAGTGTGCCATTGCAAAGCCAGTGACTGAGCCTCTGCTCACACACAGGATTCATCCAGAGCCCGGTCTGCATAGTCGACAAAGAGCTGCTGTGTGCACCCACGCTGCAGATACGCCGTCTCCACTGACAGGCCAATCTATGCATCAACCCAGTCACTGGAATAAAAGTTTTTGGATGTCTGCGTCTGCAAACCGTCTGCAAACCTCAGATATGAAGAAAGAAAAAAAAATCAAATGAGAATTAAAATAAGGGGGAGGCGGTGTTACACAAGAGATCTGAACTTTAGTGGTGTCACATTGACTCAAATCAGAACTTTTCCTCTACAAACGCTCCTTTTATGCACGTCGTTTTCGACTAGAGCGTCACTGGAGCATTTATTAACTTCATCAAAAGGCAGATTTGAGAGGCTCTAACGTCTCTAAGTTCTGCCTAGATGTGGTTCCCAGAGGTGCCATGAGAGGGGAGGTTGTTCTTATTCAACACTAAAGACCGCATACGCTCTGAGAAGCCGAGACTGGGTTCAGTTCTGTCGTGAAGTTTGGAGCTAAACGTGTTTTTTTTTATTTTTTTTATTGAAAAATAAGTGACCTGTGTTTATGACCAGGACAGATAAATGCTGGAAAACTCGGTCAACACGTAAAACCTCTGACAACGGAGGCGTTTCCCAACAAGTTGTGGGGTAGAAACTGGATCAGGAATGGTGTCGTCGCTGCCCTCTCATAGAGACCACCGGCTACTGAATCTGAGCGTCCCACTTGGCTGCGCCTTGCTCTCACAGCTCAGCGTGGACACGCAGAGATAACCGGCTCAGACCTGGAGAGTCCTCCGAGGAGGAGAGGCTGCGTGGAAATAAGCCGCCCCTCTCTGCAGCTTTCTATTTTTAAAGAAGAAGAAAAACCCAAAACAACTGAGACCAAAATCTGAGCGTGTGTGAGCCTTCCAACTTGGACTGTTTACCAAAATGTCTCCTTTTAATTTAAAACTAAAAAGATAGAAACTGCCAACAGTAACTAAGACGGGCTCTAATTGGTTGATTTGTTCAAACACACCATAAAGAGCTGAAATTTTTTAAAGACATGAATTTACTGTGATTACACACCTATTAATCATCTATAGCAATATTTAAAATATAAAATAAAGAAGCTCTTGGGCGATGTCTGACTCCACAGAACAGCAGCTCAAACGTTTGGACCGGTGTCGTTTAGAGCAAATGAACACTGCAAATGTTAACAAGATCAGAATTTAGAAGCAACCATTGCTCCAGGGTGTCACTTTTGAGGAAAACACACTTTTAAACACTTAGGTAGTAGAACAAAGCTATAGTAATTCTTCACTTTTAGAACTTGACCTTTATAAAACCCTAACAAGATGACAACAACATTTTAAAAGTTTAATTAAATAACCCACAAACCAACCAAATATCCGAGGCAGATGGTGAAAGACATCAGTGATTATTCTGACATTAATTAGTGGTCATTAAGGAAGATAAAAAGCCCAGCGTGTAGATTAGGATTAGCTAAATTTATATTTTTCCTTTTTATTAGAAAGTCCAGATTTAACGGGGCCGGCTGTGATGAGGGATTAGACCAAGGTCGTCTCTGCTCAAGGATGGAAGTCCATCAGGACCTTCTGCGTCTTGTCCTTCCAACAGTTCTCTGCCTGCTTTGTCATCCCTGGATTTCTTCCTGTCATTACCCTGAGCTCACACAGGAACATCCACAAACCCTCACAAAAAATAAAACAACCAAACAAGAGAGATAATGTGTCGTTTGTATTTAAAGGGCTCTGACTACCTGCACATGTTGACCTTAGTATGTTATTTTTTTATTTTACTAAAAGTTGTTGTTTGTGACGTGTGGAAACCTAATTACTTTGAACATAATTTATGTTCATTAG